AATAGAAACATGGAGGAACAGGAAATAGAATAAACTAATCAAAAGGGCAAGAGAATAAATCATGCAAAAAAAATTACATCATCGACACACAGGGGAGGCAGGAAGGTCCACTGGGTCACATGAGAATAAATCATCATCTATAAAAAAGTAGAATTACTAAAATCCAATATGAAGAGGTGCATCCAATTTGTCAAGTGTCCACAAGTCACAGGGTCACATTAAGCTACTGAAATTATTAAATTATTATTAAAATGATTATGTAAAATAAATGCTACATATGGGCCAGTCAGCATTAAGGTAAAAAAAAACAGTAACTCCCAGCTGTTGAGCGCAGGGAACAACTTAAAACTAACTTCACAGCGGTATTGCAAGAGAATTGCAAATGATTACTTCACAGAGAAGATGATTTACCAACTCTAGAATAGAGTAAAATGTCTAACATAAAGTTATTAGGAACAAAGTTGACTTTTAAAAAATCTGAGCAAACAAACTCCATAAAAGTACATTTTTAACATCCTCCTTGCTTTGAGGCAAATGTGTGATAGCTCAGGTTGCCGCATGGACAAAAAAAGAGATGCAATGAGACCCCATGGTATCTGAAGTGAGAGGTGCGGCACTGCTGTTGGTCAGAGGAGTCTTCTGATACAGATCAATGGAAACAACTGAGACCAGTGGAGCCAGAGACTCCCTGCTGATTCAATTTACCATCTCTCTAATTCACATGATCGTACTGCCTCTCAGCCAACACACGCACACACAAACACACACAGGCAAGATTGCATGACTTAAACTGAAATAAAATACACATAAACAGGTATATTTTATAACAGCTTTTGCTTATTGCACTTTGACTTTGTGTCCCATTGTGTCCAGTGTAGTCGTTACGAGAGTCAAATGCAAGTTTAAAGTCCCGTTTCACACCCTTGACTAACCTCCCAGTTTTGTTGTACCTTTTGTTTGCTGTAAGTCTTTCATGCTAATTCTTTTATTTTATTATTTCAAATTCAGATACATGTAAAGAAAAAGTTAATATTTGAGTAACTGTCTCCGTGTTTGTTGTATGATAAGCTTCTTGATTGGCTGTAGGACTTGCATTGGTTTATATTTTTGGCTGCACTGACTCGGTCCACCTGATGAATGTTAAGTCCAGCACTAACTCCTTTCAGCTCTGGTTCTCAGTCACTCCCTGAGGGAAATATCTGGCTCTTTAGTTGCTTAATGCTCCACTATGTTCGCCGGCTAGTCGCTAACTTTGCCCGAAAACAATGCAGATGAGTGCAGTGACAGAGGACCAACACAACAAAGTTGCAGGCTGGAAAACAAAACAGTGCTCAGTCAAGTGACACATCACATTGCACATAGGTATTAAATCCATTGTTAATATGAAAAACCTGTAAAAGATGCAGGTCTGTGATGGCATGAGCCAAGTCCTGTCCACTGTGTCCTTGTGGGAGACTTTGCTATGGCAATGTAGTTTAAAAATATGTAAACTAACCAAACTTGTATGATAGAATTTCACTGAAGACTTATGTGCATCCAATGCTGAGTGCCTCTGAAACTGTAACACATGCATTTTGTAGTTTCACTCCTCCTGGCTGCATAAATGTCAATAAAAAGTGTAATAGCCTTCATATAAAAATGCAAGCAGAGTAGAGTCTCCATTCAATCAGAGCAGCATCAATTATTCATAGATGCTCCCCTCGGCTGTGCTGCTCCTGGGATCGATGCCTCTGTAATGTGGACCGATACGAGCCCCTGGTCGAGTCCTAGCACTGCTGGAGGCACTTCCTGGACAAAACTCTGCCCACTGACATTTTATAAGATCCCAGTAAGTTGTGTGTATGTAGGTGCGGCAGATGTAGGCAGGCTTTCCATTTTTTTATACAGTCTATGGTTTGTACTGTCAAAAATGTGAACTTAATGTTTGTATCCAAGGTGGTTTAAAATCAAGGGCAACCGGACTTGGTTGAAGGTGCTGAAAGACATTTCGCCTGTCATCCAAGAAGCTTCTTCATTTCTGACTGGCAGAGAATCACAGCTATTTAATGTGAAGTCGTTCTCGAGGTGGTGGATACAGCTTGGCTCGCTGTGGTCATTGGAGTCACCTGAGGCCAAGTGTGAATGACAGTGGACGATGACGACGGAGGTTAAATGGCTGTTTTAAGAGTGGTACACTAAAAATCACTGGGGTTACAAATTGACACAGTTTGCATCATCATAGAACTGGGCCAAACAAAATAATGGTACTATAATTGAAAATAGAATAGAAAAATAGAATCAATTGTAGATTTTTAATTTTTTATTAGAGACTACTTTGTAAACATTTGGTGAAACTATCAACCATCTTCCTTTTTGGAAAAACTAATTTTTAAATTAAATCGACTCAACTACAGTGAGTAACTATTAGTGGTTTGTTAAGTTAAGTTTGTAAGTGTTGCTTAATTGGATCGATGTAATTACGGTGCAGCATAAATTATAAAAAATTTTAAGATTGATACACATCTTCCGCAAACTTCAAACTTCTTTTTCTTTTCTGTTAGTGTGTGTGTGTGTGTGTGTGTGTGTGTGTGTTTGTGTGTGTGTGTGTGTATATGAGTGTCCAATCCATTATTCTACCCAATCAATTTGTGCTGTCGTTCAATGAAGAGGTTGAATGTTTCACGGAGAGTGCGGTAAATGGTGAGCTTCTGAGAATCTGCGAATGACATGATGAAGGTGTTGCCTAGTAACAGTAGTCCTCATTTAATGTAATCTGATTACATAATAAGTACAGATAATGATGCAGCAGATGGCTCTTGGAAGATCTGACATATAAAAAAATAGAAACTAAACTTTCTAGAACTTCTGTTTTTAAACTCTGTAACTTTAAATCAAAAATACAGTTTCTGATGATTTTTATTAATATTGTTTTTAATTTCTTATCTTTTTAGCCTAAAGTTTTAAAATCTTGTTTTGTAAAGCACTTTTGGGCTGCATCTTTGCATGAAAGGTGCTATACAAAGAAATCTATTGTTGTTTATACTTGCTAAACATCATCATGTTAGCATTGTCAGTGTAAACGCATTGCTGGTTTGTAGCATTTAGTTCAGCCAGGTTCAGGTGTGAAGACATTTCGGAGACTGACTTAACATACAGTACGTGGACAAAAGTACTGGGACACCTACAAATTACTTTTATAACATCTCATTCTAAAACCATAAGCATAAATATGGAGTTGGTCCCCACTTTGCAGCTATAACAGCTTCCACTCTTCTGGGAAGGCTTTCTACAAGACTCGTTCATCCAGAGGAGAATTTGTGACGTCAGACAGGCCTGGCTCGCAACACAAACTGTTGGAAGAACTGTTGTTTAAAATGATATGTTGTAGCATCAAGATTTCCCTTAAGAAAGACCACACCATGAAAAAACAGCCCCTACCAAAAGTATTGGGACGGGGGGACCTTGTACTTTTGTCCATAAAGTTTAGCATGGTTTACAGCATACAACATGTGAGCACGTCAAATGCCAACACCAGGTCCCTTTTATGTTTCTCTCTTACCTCTAGTTCTTGTATGTTTTCCTTTTAGGTCATCTTTAGCCGGCCTTAACTTAGAACAATACATCTTTCTGATGTTTAGACTGCAATGCTTCGTCATACTGGAATCTATCACTCTCCATGAGTTGTACTCTGTAATCTGTGGAACCAGTAAGTTCTTGTAAACATTCTTGTAAGATTTAACCTTGCAAGATTCCCAGGGAACACCGATATCTGCTAGCCTGACTCCTGAGCTACTGTCTCTACCTTATCAGCCTTACTGTTGTCTCCCTAACAAGGACAGTTACATGAGAGAAATAACCAGGTCTGCTTATGACTCCGAGCTAGACCTGTCTTACCTTCGCCTGTTACATCAATTAAGACCCCTGAGAAATATCTCTTAACATATCTGACCTAACTGTGTTTTCCTAGGGATGTTGAATCCTTTCAGCCAAAGTTCAGTAAGTTTAGTTTCAGTTTCTTTACTAACATTTCTGTTCGTTCGTCAGTTTGCAGTCAGATACATTGATCTGGTTGTTTGCCAGAACATGTGGCGTTATCATCCTGCCGGGCTGTGTGATAATGTGAAGAGCATTAAATATTCAGTTAAGAGGAAGTTGAGTGTCACTACATTATCTGAGATGTCAGGCATTTATTGATGACTATCCTTTATCTGTTAGAGCTGAAAGGGCACACACAAGCACACAAACTAAACCGCTGGGAGTAATAGTATTTGTCTGATAGATGTAGTCTATTTGTTTCATGAATTATAGATCTCCCAAAATGTCACCCAAAGCGAGTAGCTTGCTTCATCTCGCACACTGTGTGTATGACATCACCTTGACAGATGAGTCCTTTCAACAGCACTTGCTGGAAGTTTTAACTGGGAAACTCAAAGGTTGTTCAATCAATAAGGGAAGCTTTTTAAAATGCTTGGTTGGTTCCTCTACTGGGCTGAATTGTTAATTAGACAGAGTCTGCCATGCTGAAGCTGGCAGTGTCTAAGTCCACTCAGGCTGCTCGCAAACCTGAGGAATAATCTGTTTGTCATCCGCCACAGCGAGACTTAAACAGATTTAAAGCTCCCCATGAAATGTGCTTTGATGCTTTAAGTTAAGATATGGACCTCTGATGAAATTAAAACAACTCAAATCAGCATACAGAAAATAGAATTACAAGCAGAAATAATTCACTTTGTGAATGAAAAAGCACTCTCCCCGCTGCTCTGGTTATCTTTTATCTTTTCCTTTTTTTTTCTGAGATGGAATCCGTGAATGAACCCATAAAGGAGATGTAAGAGAGAGAAGAGGATGTCTCTCTGACATTAACCTGAAACCACCCTCTCCTTACACCCCACCCACCCCGTCTCCTGGCTCGACCCCACTCCTCCTCCCCTCATTCATTCAGATCCGGCCCTGGCGGAGAGGAAACTGCTGCCCCCACAGGGATTTGGCATCATAATTATATAGGAAGCAGAACAGTCTGCCGTCTGTTAGAGCTGGAGAGGCTGCAGGCTGGTCACACATGTCCGCTTATGTGCAGTGAACAAGTGGTCATAACATGGATGTGGAGCTGTCTTTCTGACACAGTTTGGACGGTAAGATAATCTCTTGCAATAATCTTCAAAGAGTTAATTACAACAGAGAGTGATTAACAGCCTGTGATATTAAACCGCCTGCTGCACACTGTCTGTTCAGTTAGATTTTGTACTGTCAGTGAACATCTCCGCAAACTGCTGCCAAGCACAAATATCACTACAGCCAGCCTTTAACTGATGTGTTAAAACAACAGCTTTGTAAGCACTTTGACAAAACTTTCTTCTCTGTGACTGATGCTTCAAAAGTCTGTTTCCTGGGTGGACATTAAACTAAATTTTGTGGTTTTACGGAAGCTGATCAATTTCCTTCTGCAGGCTGTTTCTGAACTCTGCAGTCTTAATGTGATTTCTTGCCACTGGAGATGATCAGAAAAAAAACCCAGCAGGAATCCACATCAGCCTATTAGTCTTGCACAAAATGACTAGATCGCAGCCTTGCACACACAGATTAAAGAAAGTTCTTGAAGGGTTGGGTGTAACCAAAATGAAACTGATAAATTAATTCAAAAAGCTGTGCAAAATCAGAGTAAAGACGTCAGTATTGGTCTTAAATATCACTGACTTCAAAATCAGAATCAGAATCAGAAAGGACTTTACAATGATGCAAGACCTTATAATATTTTCTGGTACTATAGAGCTCTTTGTGGTGAGAAGAAAAGGTAAAATGTGTTCTTTTTATCAATATGGCAAGACAGTGGGGCAATGTTGTGGATTTTTACTTTACCCACAACTCTAATTGAAGCAACCGTTTGCTTTTTTCTGTTTCTGAATGTGTCATAGAGTGAGCAGAGGAAGCAGCCATGTCAGAGAAAAAGCCACGAGGCTCAGACACGCGTCCCAAATGTGGCCTCCGCAGTTGGAGTGCAGACAGTTATGTTTGGCGGGGGAAGAAACGCTCCCGGAGCTCTCGCAACGGGTCGAGCCCCGGAGGGCTGGAGGTGGAGGGGACGGAGGAGCTGGGTGTGCGGTCAACATCCTGTCCGAGGCGACGGAGAGAGAGAAAGTGTAGCTGCAGCACTCTCGGGGATGCATTGACGTCTGCAGACATCGATGTGGTGTGCCGGAAGGCCTTGTCCCACCGCTCTCTGCGGCAGAAGTTTCAGGATGCAGTGGGCCAATGTTTTCCTCTGCGCTCTCACCATCATCACCATCATCATCACCACCATCAATCGGGCTCCTCGCGGCCCTTCTCGGTGCTATTCTGGTCCAAACGCAAGATCCACGTTTCAGAGCTCATGCAGGACAAGTGTCCCTTCTCACCAAAATCTGAACTGGCTCGATGCTGGCACCTAATAAAAAATCACTCCACCCACCCAAGCGTCCTCAAGGACATGGAGGCTCCCCTGAAACCTACTGTCTCATCATCCTCTACCTCCCCACCACAGACCCCCCTCTCCTGGGAGGACATCTGCTGCTCTCCTGGGCCTGGAGGCACCAGTCTGGAGGACTGGGACCCTTCTTGTCCTCATAGGGAAGCAGATGGCAGCTGTGGCCACACTGACTACATCTTGGTCCCAGATCTCCTCCAGATCAACAACAGTTCTTGTTACTGGGGTGTGCTGAACCGCTTTGAGGCAGAGGAGCTACTGGAGGGCAAACCAGAGGGAACGTTTCTGCTCCGAGACTCTGCCCAGGATGAGTTCCTCTTCTCAGTCAGCTTTCGTCGCTACAGCCGCTCCCTGCATGCACGCATTGAGCAGAACGACAAGCGTTTCAGCTTTGATGTGCGTGACCCATGCATGTACCGGGATCCCAGTGTGACAGGACTACTCAGACACTACAGTGACCCAGCCACCTGCCTCTTCTTTGAGCCCCTCCTTTCCCGGCCGCTATCAAGGACCTTTCCTTTCTCCCTCCAGCACCTGTGCAGGGCTGTGATCTGTAACTACACCACCTACCAAGGCGTGGACAGCCTACCGCTGCCATCCCAGCTCAGGGACTACCTCCGCCAGTACCACATTAAGTGTGATGGGGCCTGCGCTGTGTGACAGTCCAAAGCAGGCCTCATACCATGGAAGGCAAAGATAGCACAAGCAACTTGGCAAAGAGGCAAGAATATTGCCACTGAATTAGATGGTTCATTAAGTAGCATTTCTGTTGCAACTCATTGAGGTCTAAAAGGTGCAGAACTGGAGAGTTTTTAAGATGTCTGATGATGTTGATGCATTACATGGTACAACAACTAAACCTACAAAGGCTCATCAGCCTTCTCTACAGGTCTGAATCCAAATACTGTAGCACATGGACGATGTCCGTGTCAACCTTTAGTACTTGGAGATGGTTTGAAGCGTGGATTTAGGTTTTGTGCTTTCAGCCATTTTGACAGCCAGGGTCAAGAAAGCAGCCACTACAGCTGTGCTACGCTGAGACACCTGTAATTAGGACCCACAACTAACACTTTAATATCCTTAATAAAGTAAGGATTCTCAACAATCACCAAGACCTCAAACTAACCCTCACTTTTTGTGGAATATTGACTCTTGAAGTTGGAGCATTTTCCTCTAGGCTTCAATTCAGCGGGAGTTGTCTTGTGTGGGCACTAAGTATCTCTAGTGGCCACTAGAGGAACTGCACCTTTCATGGTACCTGGCTGAGACTAAACCGCCTTTCATGTACCTTAATATCATTAAAATGTGATGTTTTGCTGTAGCCTTGTCGTGCACACAACCCGTGTTGTCTGATGTACAAGTAGGTGTACAGAGACTGCATCTAATAATATCAAAACATTACTCATTATTCAATATCTTTCCACAACATTTTCATACCTATTTGGACCTTCCCTTGGTCTACAGGGGCGTCCTTCCATATTGCAGAAAATCCTTAAACACTGTTGTAGTCTAAGAATTTCACAAATTTAAACCACATCTCTCTCCTTTGTGTGAAGATTGAAGTTGTGAACTGTGCCTGATGGGTCACTCAGCACATTTACCTCCTCATGGGAAAGTTGAGTCAGGCAAACTGAAGACGAGAGGACTCTGTTGCCAATCAATGTGTGTGAGAGAAAGAGAAATACATAGTGACAGAAAAAGAGGCATTCTTGATAACTTGGTCACCGTTTTATGCCTTTCAACACCTCTTCTTATCGACCACAAATGTCAGCTTCTTATTAAAAGGATTGCATTCTTCTCTGCAGCCACACGATGGCTGCACAACTGCACTGATCTGAGCTTTGGGAAGATTTCACCCGCTTCACTTGTCTGTCTTTCCACTACTACCTTCAAGCTCCTCTGTAAATCAATATTTTAACAGGTTTCACAAGTATTGTTGTTTAAAAACTGTTTACATGGTGGAGTACAGTACACTAAAAGTACCATGCACTGTTCTTAAAGTATTTGAATCACTGTGATTCCCCTTCAAGGCAGATATTGTATTCACCACATTGATACACAAGCTAATAAATGCTACCCACACTGCCTCTGTAGTGTGACTGTTTCTCTGTTTTTTGTTATCTCTGGACCAATTTAATGGTGCAGCTCATGCTTGCGCACACTTGTTCATGCTGCAACTGTGTGCTATGTCATAGTTAGACAGGCTAATGGTATGGAAAATGCTGCTTTTGAAGTATCCTTCTGAAAACAATTCATGCTGTCTGAAAAGGACACCTCTAAATGCCAGCGCTCAGCAGAGCAAATTGAGAGATAAGGACATGAGAAAGACTATTTCCCCCCCATAACTGGGGTGGAATTCAGATTTTTCAATTGATTCATGTGTCATTCAGCTTCTCTCTCTCTCTCTCTCTCTTCAACTAGCAGTGGAAAAACATCTGCCCTGGGGTTAGTTGTATGAATACAAAACAGGGCATGAAATATTCAGCATCCAGTCATTAGGTTTTAAAGCACATAAAGTTTTTTTCCCCCTCAGTTCTTGTCATATAGATATCAACATTTTACTTGTAGCCTACATGTTTGAGTAAATTCAATGTCCTGTTGTCTGACTTTGTTCTCTATTTCATTATTACTGCTTCAGTTCAGTTATTCAGGGACTAACAGCTGTCTGGGTCTATAGAGTGCTCTAAGACTAAAAAAGTGATAAATACATTTATTTTAAGGCTTAAAATTTAGCCACCCTACCCTTAGTCAGATCTCACAACAAAGAGGTGTGCTTCCATGGCAGCAATCAGTGACATCTGCAGACAACTAAAGACTCAATATGCCTTTTTTTGTGGAAGACACGTCACAGTAGTAAAAAGCATATGAGTAAATAATACAGTTAATGATGGCTGAATTCCATTTTAGCGTCCTGGTATTGTACATAGTGGCTCCCTTTCCCACTGTCATGGTTCACAGAGACACTAGAGTAGAAAAGATAATGCCATTAATGTTATTAGTAACCGCTGTGTCCTAGTAATAACATCCCTGCAACTGTTAAATTCTCAAGGCTCAAGCCGCCATGTCTTTCATCCTAAAAGGAGATCGATTTACCCTAAATACAGTACATTTGTTATACATAAAGGAGAAAGCGCCTGATTTTACACATAAAGGTTAGTTAACAAGTCAGGGAGAGTACTACTCAGCCTGCTTCTTGGCTTGGACTTGAACATTCATAACAGAAAGTCTTAGGCAGGGGTCGGCAAATTAGTCTGGCATCGGGACAATTTTTTTTCAAGTCATTAGATGGCAGCCAGACCTTCTTCAATTGACCATTTATGTTTCAATATTTACTATGTGTGCGATTAACTCAGTTGGCAGTGCACGGGACTCCAGTTCGGGGGGTTGTGTGTTCAATTTTCATTTGCTTCTAGTAATTTTTTTCCTCCCTTTTCAACAAATTGATTGTGAAAAGATCGTATTACATAGGCCTTTTCACAATTAAGCATGTGCAGGAGTGTGAACATCCCGGCGATTGGTCCACAGCAACCTATGGACGGTTATTTTCATTTCCCCAGTATCTCCAGGCAGAGGAAATTCCTGCTTTCCTCATCCAGGGGAATCCAATCCCACGTTTTCTGACGGCCTTTTGTGTCAAGCAAGAATTTCCTTCAGAACTTTATTTAAGTAAAAGATCTCATTTAAACACGACCTAAAGTACTGCTGCAAAAATGTTCTCACACTTTTATTTGGAGGTGTGGAGTCTAAAGAAAAGATGCTATTAGTTGTCTTAAGGTAAATGTAGGGTTCATAATTATTTGAGTATCAATCAGGGACAAAAACAGGATTTTGAGCCTCAGTTGCTTCGTTTTTAACCATTTTTAAAAATTAATCGATACTAAATACTAAATCACTCGAGGTAGTCAAGAACTAGATGACTTTGTGCCACTGGAAAACATAGATCTCTGTCTCACACCCTTTAGTCAGGTTTTAATCCGAAGACAAAGTCTGTCTTTGTGATTGATCCCGTTGACACCCTACCTGTATGTCCACGCTCAGTCGATGAACAGTCAGGAACTGCATCTATTGATTTTTTACTGAACCACATACATGAAATATTAATGTTGTCTTGTATGATCCAGTTAGCGAGCATCGTTTTTCAGCAGCTCAAAACCAACGTCTTGTGTTACATTAGAATCATGATACAGTCGATATCCAACTCTGAGAAATGAAACATAGTTTTAGATGTGAGTTTATCCAGGACTGCTTCATACAGTCACGTATAGCCTAAAATACAAGTATTAGGCTTGACTTTATTGTCCACAAAGGGGAATTCGTTCACCCAGAGAGCAGTAAGGTAAGATTGTGATTGAGTGGATGTGTGATGTCCTGTGCTATTGAGGTTGCAATGCATGCAGTGACCTTATTGTTTAGCTGTACTAGGCTGGTTGTGTGGACACCAGTTATCCTGGCAGCTGTGTTTGATCCGATTAGGAACGGATAACATGTTAAAGAAGCAGGTTGAACAGAACAATAGGATGGGCTGAATAATACTCTGATACAACCATTATATTTATGTGATGTAATATTTAGATACCCATCTGTCTGCCAACAGAGTACTTCCTGTTGCAAAAATCCAATTCTCCCCAGAGACACGACTCAAACAGGCGAGTAGAGAATGAGCCAATGGTTTGTCTTTGGCAGCATAGGATAGAGCCAATATGTACACATACAATGTATATTAATGGCTACTTGAATTAATAAATAATGAAATAATTAAAAAGTGTTTCTGGGCCTGGGTTTGACATCTCATTGTGAGATGTAAGAGAAATAAAAAGTGTTGCTGAGTTGAAGGTGATAAATTCCCCAATATGAATTTATGATAAATAAATATGCATCTAAACAAACCTTGATCAACTGTTTTTAGGAAATAGTGTCTAACTTTTAATATATTTTTTAAAAAATTAGTTAATAAAAATAAGATGATGAATCACAAACACAGTTACTATTTCTACAGGCAGACATATGAGATGATCCAGTTTTATAAGAGACTCACTACAAATATGTTTAATTGGGACATTTAACAGGATTTCCTGGAGTGTTAATAATGAGAACTCTTTACTTTGCATGATTAATTTATGTCTAACTTCAAAACAAGTTACACTATAAAATATATAATAAAGTATGTTGATGTTTGGTACAAACCAAATTAAAGACTAAATGGTCTCATGAAGAACAAAATAAAAAAAAAACATAGAAAACACTGAAGAAGAACTTTTTTTTTATGTATTTTTATCCTTTTTAAAATTTATTCAACTTAGTTTCTAGTATAGTTACGGCAGCAGGTAGCGACTTGTAGCAAAAAATTTCATTGCATTGATAATTGAAGACAAAGTCCAATTTATGTTTTATTTTTCATTATATGGTGACTTATAAGTCACATTATAAGGGCTACAGTTTGCTCATTAGTAAAGTGTCCATCTCTGTTGACTTGGTGGATAATCATGTAACATTTCCGGTGTGTTTTAGGGAGGGAGCCTTTGTCTGTGGCAGCTTGTTGTTTGGGAGAGAGAGGAGCTCTTAGTCTGTAATGTTATGTGTGTGTTGTACCAGCAGCAACATTAAAGTAATGAACACATTAATCAACACCATCATCATCCCGGATCAAGCACTCGGCGGGTGGTCCATGTTCTGAGCTGTCAGCACAAGACTCCGACAAGGTGAGAGGAGGTGGACTGGTGCACAGTCAAGATAGACAGTGTTTCCAAAATTTGAAACAAAATTAGCATCTTGTTGCTGCTGTTTACATTCTCCTCAGACGCAAATTCCAAAACAATGCACTGTGCAATGAATGGCGTGTATACATGTATGTATATAAGCTTTTTATATAAATTACTGCCTATTGGTTAATTTTATGTTGCAATATTTGAATACACATTTAATTACCTAGGTTCTGTGTGTGTAGCATGAAAGGACTAAAAACATTACATTTATTCATTTAGCTGACGCTTTTATTTAAAGCTACTTACAATTGCTATTTATGTCAGAGGTCGGATGCCTTTGGAGCAACGAGGTGTTAAGTGTCTTGCTCAGGGTTACATTGGTGGATGTGTCACAGTGGGGAGTTGTATTTCGGGTCTCTCACACCAAAGGCAGGCATCTTATCCACTGTGTCACTTTCGTTGCCAAAAAGACAAATAAACAACCTTTTACCTTGTATTATAATCCTGACTATAATCGACTTCAGACCCGTCACCCTGACCTCTGTGGCGATGAAGTCTTTTGAGTGCCTTGTTTTCCCACCTTAAATCCATCACAGACCCACTCCTGGACCCCCTGCAGTTCGCCTGGTCTGTAGATGATGCAGTAAACATCGCCCTTCACTACATCCTCTAGCACCTGGACTCCCCAGGAACCTACGCCAGGACAGGATCCTGTTTGTGGACTTTAGCTCTGCTTTCAACACTATCATCCTGGCCCTGCTGCAGTTCAAGCAATCAAAACTGAGCGTGCCTGACTCCACTTGCAGGCGGATCACAGACTTCCTGACGGACAGGAAGCAGCACGTTAAGATGGGAAAACATCTCTCTGACTCCAGGACCATCAGCACCGGTTTCCCCTCTGCTCTTCTCCCTGTACACCAACAGCTGCACCTCCAGTCACCAGTCTGTCAAGCTTCTGAAGTTTGCGGATGACACCACCCTCATTGGGCTCATCTCTGGTGGGGATGAGTCCGCCTACAGGAGGGAGATTCCTTCCGCTTCCTGGGCACCATCATCTCCCAGGACCTTCAGCCTGCCAAAGACAATGATGGTGCACTTCTACACTGCCACCATTGAGTCCATCCTCACCTCCTCCATCACCATCTGGTACGCTGCTACCACTGCCAGGGACAAGGGCAGGAGGCTTCGGTCCATCAGAACCAAAACCTCTCGCCACAAAAGCAGCTTCTTCCCGTCTGCAGATAGCCTCATCAACAAGAACCGGGCCCCCCACTGACACTCTCCCCTTTTCAAATAGTACAAATGTCTCTGTAAATACTATTTCATTTCATATCATGCACAAACCTGGCACATTGCACATATTTGTTGTTAATTGTTAATCTT